CACTGGAGTCAAAAGCAACATCTTGAAATAACACATGCCTCCCATTACTTGTGCACTCACAGCGTATTCCTCCTCTCACGGTAGGACAGGGACTTCCTGAATTATTTGACGAGCCCTCATTATATCTTAGATGCACTCGTGCCTCTTTTTAATACAATTATTTCATCCTGCAATTTTACCAATTTCAACAGCTTGAAAAGAGGCAGTTTACAGCAGTCGATCGATGATCAGGCTAAGAAAGGCTCCTAAACGAACTAATCCTAAAACTACGCCTCTGAACCTAACTGCTAGGAAATCATTTTAAGACAACTCGAACGGTTTTAAGTCTCATTCGTGAAACATATGACTGTCATTTGAAATGCCTGTGGTTCAGCAGCACTAGGAGCAACCGAAAAGCGCGGCACGGAGCGCGATGCTCGAACCAAGGCATCAGCAGCGTTTCTGGTAACGGCTCCCCACGCTCGGGAGCCACGGGCGGCTGACTCGACACTCCGCTCCTTGCCGTCCAAACCAGAGGCTTAGGCAACGTGGGAGAATGGCGCTCCCTTGGCTTCGGCATCCGCGCCTTTAGCCGAACCGTTCCCACTTCCACCGCCAGCGAAGAAAAGCAGCCAATTTCCCGCCTGCCCGCCCTCAGCCTCGATTCCAGCAGCCCATGAGGGACAACGGCCCGCCCAAATCGCCCGAACCCCACGAAAGGCAACGTTCCAACAACGGCATCGCCTCCCTCTAAATCTCGCGCGATGTCCAGAGTGCCGCCCCTCTCGGGATCTCGCGCCTCTCCGCCTTCTCGCGAGGGGTGGGACTCTGGCCATCGCCAGGGCGGCCTCCGGGAGGCTGCGGAATCCCGGCGGCGCCTCTACGGGCCGACGCCGGCTTCCTTGTTCCCGACGGCCCTTGCCGCGGTTGGAGGGGGAGGACGCTTCCTGCCGGATTATTACCGCTCATGCCTGGTTGTCTGTGTGAGGTCTGATCTCTGACTGTAAGCACACCCGGGAGAAGAGAGACGCGTGTGTTGGCTTGTATGCGACAGCAGGGCTGCCGGGCCACCTTCGCTCCGTTAGCAAGCTTGGCGTGAAGGCCAGTGGCGCCGAATAAGCAACGGGCTGCAGGACAGACTTGTGGTGGGAAGCTTTATGTCTAGGTGGTGGCGTTCGCACGATGCAGGATGGTTCTGTTCTTCGGGATTTGTCTTCCAAGGCATTATAGCGCTTGCGATGAATAAGGTCTCTGACAGTTGAGCTTTGTTAGTATTTCCCAGTTACCACGAGTTACTTGGGAACGAGGGGAAGTTTCTCTGACCGGGAGGGGGCGGGGGCGCATCGTTGAAATTTAGCTTGTTTTGGCTGTTGTTTGTAACTGCATAGAATTGGAGGTTGAAATTGCTGTTCATATAGAAAAACCAAATTAAATAAAAAGAAACATTAATCCTGGAGCTGAATCTTTTACCTTATTGTGAGACTCAAAAACAACAACAAAAAACCCTGCAACTGTGCTCTGAAAGAAACTGAATGCCTGTCAGGCAGCTGTCATTCTGAGGGGACAGAATGAAGGCTTCCGTAGCAGAAGTAGCAGTTGCTCCTCTCACCTGAACCGTCATTCTTGAGCCAGAATGAGGAACTCCTGAAGGACTGAGGTCACAAGAAACTGGAAATGCTGCAGAGGCCCAAGGAAAGGACTGCTTCTTCCAGTCTTCTCTCTTCCTTTTTCCCATCTTTTCTTTCTTTTCCTCTTCCTTGCGGGGAGTGTAGGAATAATACATTCTCCTACCCACCTCACTTGCTAGCATTCCTCCAGTATGATATCATTGTATCTCACACACACTGATGGTTGAAGCCTGGATTTTTTAGTTGCTTCAATCCCTTTTATTTTAGAATTAATAATCTTAAAAATTTATTTATTCCATTTATGTCTGGACACAATCAGAAACTACTCTCGGTGGTTAAATATCCCACGATTCTATCTCATACTCTCATTCGTATACCCTTTACTTAAAGACATGAAATTTAATACAGCTCTCTGTTTGAAAGGCCTTGTAACAGTGCCCAAGCCATTTGATCACAGTCCTTTTTCAAGAAAATCTGAAACTTGAAATAGAATATTAGCTATCATCTTAAAAAGAATTCCTTCTCTGCCTATTAATAAGGACATCAGATAAATGAACTACTTGTTGAATTTAGTTCCTTTCTCTGTGCTTTAATTGCTTTGATCTCTTTGAAGGGTAAAGATAATAAATTGTAAATGGTAGCATCTCTTCATCCTTCTACTTTTCATTTCATTCTTTAAAATCTTCATTCAGTCCCTTTCTGCATTATGGTTCCACTTTATGGGAGGGTTGTTCTCATTCTCTGTTTCTTAGACCTTGTCCTGTAGACGGGAACCAGGGAAGGAGCCCAGACGTGGCAACACATTCCCAGATCCCTGCAGGACAGCCATGGCTTATGATGACTCCAAGAAAAAAGAAGGTAGGATTGTTTCATAATTTGAGAGGTGTTACAAAGAGTACGCTAGTCCAGCCCACGTCTAGGAGAAAAAGCCAGTGTCCTGCATGGATTGGGTTTCTGCAGTGTTTCAGATCCTCCCTCCTTATTCTCAAATTTGACAGAATCAGGACTGGAACAAGAGTCTCACAAAGGATAATGTAGATGTTGACAGTGTAGCACCTCCTAATTCTGTCAGCTCCATGGAATAATAATTCAGTTTAGGGACTGTATGCATAACTTCTACATAGCAGAATACTGAAATCTAGGCCCTTGTTTGTATGAGCAGCCTTTTCAGTTGTTATTATCCTAGGAAAGGAACTGAGTAAGAATAAAACTTCAGCCTTTCAAACAGCAACATACAGCTTAGAACCCACTGTTGTTTAAGTGTGTGTGTGTCTGCCTGTCTTGTCTGCTTCCTTTTCTGTATCATCTTTTATTTGAGGCCATAATGTGGTATCTTATAGTGAATGCTTCCCTTCATCTTAATTATGTTTCCTCTCTTAGACAGTGACCAAATAGATGATGTGGGACTAGCAGCTGGCAGAGCCCAACGAGAGAAGAAACGTTCCTATAAGGATCTACTTCGGGAAGAGGAGGAGATAGCTGCTCAGGTCAGGAAGAATGCAAAAAATAGACTGAAGGTGAGAGAGCTTCAAGATAAGAGGAGAAAAAAAATAATTCTGATTTTGTTAAAATGGTAGCAACTGAATTAGGAATGCAATGGCAATCTGTTTTATAGTTCAATGTTTTCATATTATGAATAGAAATACAAATTCTGGTATCTAAAAGAAGTTTAACTGTGAATGTTTAGGGACTGCATAAATGAAATTGTCATTACCGTTACTACTATTACAGTGGTACCTCGGGTTACGAACTTAATTCGTTCCGTGACTCTGGTCGCAACCCAAATTGGTCGCAACCCGAAGCAAATTTTCCCATAAGGTTCAATGTAAATATGGTTAATCCATTCTGACCCCTCCGAATTTGGTCGCCAGCCGATTTTGGTCGCAACCCGAAGCAAATTTTCCCATAAGGTTCAATGTAAATATGGTTAATCCATTCTGACCCCTCCGAATTTGGTCGCCAGCCGATTTTGGTCGCAACCCGAAGCAAATTTTCCCATAAGGTTCAATGTAAATATGGTTAATCCATTCTGACCCCTCCGAATTTGGTCGCCAGCCGATTTTGGTCGCAACCCGAAGCAAATTTTCCCATAAGGTTCAATGTAAATATGGTTAATCCATTCTGACCCCTCCGAATTTGGTCGCCAGCCGATTTTGGTCGCAACCCGAAGCAAATTTTCCCATAAGGTTCAATGTAAATACAGTTAATCCATTC